ATATATATATTATATATATATGTACTATATATATACTATATATATAGTATATATAAACTATATTCAGATGTGTGCATATGCTGATGCGAAAAACTACTTAAAATATAAACATATAGATGTAGTATGTATATACATCCGCTGTGCGTTATACCTTTGCATCTGCTGATTGCTGTTAGTTGACTACGAGGCGGCGACGGTAAATGCAGTAAGGGCGCAGCAGGCGCGGGTTGGAGAACTCCTTCGGCACTTCTACAGCACTACCTTGCCTGAGGTAAATATATCCGTTTGCCCTTTCTCATCGTGTTTGCCTGGGGGGTTGTTGGCATTTTGTGTTTCGTTTCTTGCTGAGCGAAGGGTGCGCATGTTGTTCCGCGTGTTTTGCTCAGATGTGCGGCTATCTGCATTGGGGTGCAAGGCTCTGTTGTGTATTGTGTGCAGTTTGCCGTTGTCGTCTGCCTCTGTATTTGTTTCGTTTCGCCATTGCATCATATGGCAGATTCCTTCTGCGTTTGTGCAAGGATGTAGTGTTTAAGGTTTAGGGTTTGTGTTTAGGAGAAGAAGCGCTCGCGTTTAATTCAGGCGTTGGACGCCATAAAAGCGGAGTTGGAAAATTCCCAAGTGAGGCGATGTCTCAGCAGTTGTCTGCATGAAGGCAGCACTTGTCTGTTCGTGCAGCCGTCGGTGGGCATACGGAATATCTATTTCGGGCTGTGCTCATCAACACATAGGCCTGTATACATGAGTATATGTATGAGATGAATATACATAAATATGTATACATAATTGATGTTATATGCAAGAATACGAAGATATAAATACATATACATATTTTCAATATGTTATATCCGCCTTTGCAGTGTATTTGGGCAAGTGCACCTTTCTACGCAGTCTCATTACTGCCGTTGTGCTGTATCCTGCTTCTGCCCGTTCTTTTGTTGCCTGCGGTTGCGTACCGTTGTTCCAATTTCTGACCACCTAGTCGCCCTCGGCACTGTTCCACCCCAATTCAGCTTTTAAGGGGCATTTAAGCATTTAAGATGGTTGACGGAACAGACGGGCTAGCAGAAATAACACAGAAAATGAGCCCAGGAAAAGAAACGAGACAGCAGATATCGCTGTGTGTTTGTGAAGCCAGAAGGCAAAAACAAACAAACACGCACAGACAAACACTGATGCAAATCTTCCACAATTTTGAATTTGTATAGAGGAGCAACCGAATGCGCTTCAATATATTAGACTGAAGGGCCGAATGCACTGCGTTGGAAGCTCCAGTGTTCTGCTCAGCTGTGCGCACACCCAGTGTGTGCAACATTTGCGCAGGACATATCAGGGGGGTTCACAGGGGCGGCTACGAAGGCGCTATCTACGCCTTTGGTTGAGCAAATAACAGCGGCAAGAAGACATGCAAACCGACTGCAGCGGCTGCTGCAGGCAGCTCGGGAAAAGCGCATCAGCCAGCATGTGCGCCAGGCACAGCAACAGGCGCATCCACAGCACACAGCGGCTCCCTAAACAAACAGCAAATCTAACACCAACTGCAAACGCCAGCGCACCTGCTGTAGCACCTCCTTGTGCAGCAGCCCCTACAACATCTCTTGCAGCAGCCCCTTCTGCAGCACCTGCTTATTCTGCAGCATTCTGTGCAGCAGCCCTTCTTGCTGCAGCACTTCCTGTTGCAGGATCTCCTGCTGCAGCGCTCCGTGTTGGAGTGTCTCGTGCAGCTTGAGCTGCTGCGCAGTACGTGGTTGATCGCGGTGGAATCAAAGAAGAGGCGAGGAGAGCAGATGCTGGTGTTTTGAGATGATCCCGTCATTTTTATTGCATTTATCGAGCGGAAGCCGCTGTAGGATGGGTTCGTTTGAAATGGTAATGTGTTTCCTGCAATGTGGGCTGCTCCGCTGCTCCAGAAAACAACACGGGGTAGTGCGCCCCGTCAGGGCATGCAAGGGAGCAATGGCAATAGAAAGGAGCAAAACGTACCAACACAGGAAGACATTTCTAAAGTGGGCGAAAGGGAAGACGTATTTCACGTTTCAGCTGTTTTTCATCGATGCATAGATATCGGATGCAAGGATTGTTAGAGTTGTGCATCCTCAGCCCACGCAGTTGTAGCTTTAGGCTGCTGTCTGTCTTTTGTTTTGGTCACTTTTGTGAAACTCTGAGAGCGTCTGGCAAAGTGGCTTCGCACTAGCCCTACACGGGCACTTCGCTCGAAGAGCACCAAACCGACACTGTTTGCTGCCCTGTCTCGTCTTTTGTTGATAACTGCTCTTCTCGCGCCAACACCTTCTTCCAGCTGCTTATTTGAATTTTCAATTGCTGCTCCGTTGGTTAAGTATCTTCGCGTACGGCTCCGGTAGCAGGCATACCGAATTCCCCTGATAATGCAGGTTTACTTTGCATGCAAGTAATAATACTAATAATGGGGGAGAGCCAGAAAACTCTAGCGTGGGACCTAATTTTTCATATTACTACTATTACCATTATTAACATGTATTGTTACAATTACTAACTATTACTAGTACTATACTTGCATGCGTTTTCTGGTTCCCCCCTGTTTGTTTTCTATTTGAACATATCCTCCTCCAATACCGTGTTCGGCCCGGAGAAGTCAAGCAATTGTCTTTCATTAGTTTCGAATAATTCTGCTTTTGTGCTTTTGTTGTATAAACAAAAAAATATACTTGAGTCTGCTCTTTGTGTGTCGACTGCTTCTCTGTTGCTGCACCCACAGTGTCTCGGTCATACTGTGCCCTATCCGAATCCTCCCGCTGCTTGCTGCTAAATGTTGCCGCATGCTGCAATAACCAGATCACGCGACTCAGTAGCGCAGACGGCAGTGTAATCGAGGAGAAGCCTGCTCCCACTCAATATCCATGGACTAGCAAAAGCAAGCACGGAGCTTGCCGTCAAACACAGCAGCAAATCGGATAGACAGTACACACAATTCGCCAAGAGTCTAAGTCGTCCTCTGGTCTTCGTTGTTCTTAAGTGGTACTGCAGCTGTTATGAACTTCATATGGCCCAGCAGAGTCCTGTTCTTGCCCCGTTAGGGCTCCCTCGACCCCCACCCTTTTGAACTGGGAGCGCAACGGCCCCCCGTCTGTTGCTGCTGCATATCTTTAAAAAGCGCAAACACATACACTTGCTCATTTACGCTTAGAGGCGGTGATTGCCATTCATAATGACGATGATGACCGGTCAACTTTGTCTTCCAGCTCCTGCATGGCGGTCGCCAGCGACTCTCTAGACAGAGATTACAATAACGACCGTCTCTTCCCTTCCCCTTCGAAAGGAAAAGTCAGTGCGTTAATGCAAAAATTGTAACGACGTCGATGCACGAAAATTTTTTTGGTTTCCCCCAGCTACTAGCAACGGAACACTACTCAGTTCTGCTCGAGTTGTTTACGAACACTGACTGTAGAACACTTATAGGAATGATCCCCTCATTATAATTGCTTAGATATAATTTGCTATCTACTTCATTTGACTCCCACGTTTACCTTCTTAAGCGTAAGCGCTTGTCTGACGAGCTGGCACCCAAACAGCAGAGACACAGGTAGCAGTGACGGCCCCGATGGTGGTAATGAAGAGTGTTGGTACATTCTAGGAAAACCTAACGCCTCTCAGCAATCAGGAACATTCATAAATCTCCTGTTACAAAAAAATTCCCCAATTCATCCCTTGCTCCAGCAGAACCCTTGTCCAGCCAGAGGCCGCAGCCAAGCCCCAAAGCAAGGAACACGGAGTTTTCCAAGGGTTCTTCTGTATTGCAGAAGTTTTGTTTTATTAGTCTTGGATGCTACCTTAACCAAGGAGTCTGCTAATCAGGCGCACACAATAGGACGTGTGCCAAGCGGGTTGCCGTTGCTTCTTCGCTGGAACGCCACCTGTCTAGCGACGCCTCTTTTTTCCGTTTTCTCTCTAAACAATGGCGCTTTTTGGGGAGGAGAAGAGTAAGTGCGAAGGCCTGCACATGAAGTCAACACCCGTCAAGCCGTAGCTAGCGGCAGGCGGCTTGCTTCTGTGTGTGCTCCAGCTGGGATAGGTTCCAGGCGAGTGGAGCGTTCTTAAGAGCAGCCTTACGTCAAGCAATCAAGACATATCTTCTATAGTAGCAGTATCTGTTTGGGGCGGTGTACAGAGGAAATTAGGGGCTAGAGCCGCAACAGGGAATTGCCTGTGGGGTATGCTGGCTGCGCAGTAAAGGAGTTGGAGGCGTTCGTTACACTTGCGCGCAACGATCCCAGCATCTTGCACCGACCAGAGTTGACGTTTTTCAAGGAATATCTGTTGTCTCTTGGTGCTAAACTACCGGATTCGCCAGTTGAGGAGTCAGAGGAACAGGAGGTCCGTCAGGGCGTAAGTTCGCAAAATTCTCAAGACCCAATCGATTGAAAGGTGCAATAACTCAGTAGTTGTGGGCCTTCTGAAGAGGGAGAGGTCCTCCTCCCGAGATGTTCACCAACCTGCTGTTCTTGTGGGCGTATGTCTTTCCTGCAGTCTGAGGAAGAGGTATTTGTACCAGAATCGCTCAATGATGAGGAAGTCGTCCCACCGGAGTCTACACCTGCTCCTGCGTTAGCACCTACTGATGAGAAGGAGCTCACTGATGAGGACTACGAAAAGCTCGCCAAGGCTAAGGAGGCGGCCACAGACGCGGCCGATGTAAGAATTGCGTTGGAAATGCTGGGGTTTCCTTCAATTCAACCGCTTTATTTGTTTGCGCATACACAAGGATGACCGTGACGCTGTGTGGGCTTGCAGGCAGGCGACCTCGACAAGGCAGTTGAGTCATACACGGATGCGCTCCTTATCGGCAACCCCACTGCACTTCTATACACACGCAGGGCGGACATCCTGTTGAAACAGAAACGATATGCTGCCGCGATTCGCGATTGTGACGAAGCGCTGAAGTTGAACCCGGACAACGCAAGGGCCTACCGAATCCGTGGCACAGCTCACAGGCAAGGAATTGCGCAACACATCGACACAGGGTTCCTCTTTGCCGCATACAAGCGCTGGTTCAGTTGTGACAGTGCAACAATGTTTTTTCCGTTCTTCAGGTACCTTGGCCATTGGAAGCAAGCGCATAGTGATATAGAGATGGGACAAAAGGTGGGCGGATCGCAGTTCAGACGTTGTTTACCTACGCAATAGCGGTTGTAGCCTCTTCAAGTTGCAATTACAGATGTGGTGAGCTGTATACGCATAGATTGACTACGACGAGAACATTTGGGACATTCAGAAGCTTGTTGAGCAGAAGTTCAAGATAATTGAGGAGCACGAGAGATCCGTCCAGCGGAGGAAAGAAGAAGTATGGCGGCGGAACATTCCACTGAACTTGACACTGTCGTTCTACTCCATTGCGTCATTTCTTCCCTCGTGTGTGGACTTAGGAGGGCTCGCATGCGTTGGTTTTTTTCAGGAAGAGAGAAAGCAGCGCGAGAGGCGGGCGAGGGAGCAGCGAGCCAACGCACAGAGAACGTACGAAGAACAGAAGAAGCGTGAAGCAGGTATTTGAGGCGCCAAAATCATTTGGCATATACATGTTTGTTTGTTTGTTTGGTTGTTTGTTTGTTTGTTTGTTTGTTTGTTTGTTTGTTTGTTTGTTTGTTTGTTTGTTTGTTTGTTTGTTTGTTTGTTTGTTTGT